GTGTTTTTTTTTAAGTGTAAGGCCCAGTGTGGTGTGTGAAGAAGCGCCGTGCCTAGTGCCACCCGCTGTGTGCCTCACAAGCCCCCACCCACCTCTCACATTTCCGTCCCCCTCAAAAGCCACCGAGTCCCCCAAGCCACCCACTGTCCCATTCACAAGCTACCTATTGAACTCCTCACAAGGCACCAACTCTCCCCCTCAAAAACCACCCGCTGTCCCTCAAAAATCCCCCCATTCCCCTCAAATACCACCCGCTGTCCCTCAAAAACCTCCCCATTCCCCTCAGAAACCACCCACTGTCCCTCAAAAGCCACCTACTGTCCCTCACAAGCCACCCACCGTCCCTCACAAGCCACCCACCGTCCCTCACAAGCCAGCCCACCACTCCCCGTTGCCATCAGGCACACACATGCCCAGATCCCGGTGGGTTCTGGCTCAGTTTTTGTAACTGCTGTACTCTCTCGTCTTGATGTGATTTGAAAAAAATTGTAATGGCCATTATCATCGCTTTAGGCTGGCTTCTCGTCGTGATTATCCGCTTGGAATTAAGTACCTGAATAGGGCTTTATGTGTCAAAATGCAAGTATTAAAATAGAAATTAAGAATTACAAGATTTCTCTTGTTTTTGTCGAAAGCTAATCTGGCGCCTTATCTTTTCATTAAGGACAGCTCTAGAGATTAGCATCTAATCCCATACATGTTTTCAGTGTGCTTTTAGATATCCCACCTAAGTCACAAATAGTCCGAAGCAGCTGTAGAATCCCTGGAATGTGTTTAGGGATGCGTTCAAACCTTTTTTGACAGGGTTTTGTTGCTAGTGGGCTAAAACCCACGTAAGGGAAGGCGATGTAGCTTACTGGGTCTGGCTCCTTTATTCCCTCTCCGGATCTTGTGGGTTTCTTTTTTTGTCATTGCCGGCTCTTTTGGTAGCTTTGGAAACTTGGGAAGCTGCTTTTGAAAGATTGGGGTTTTTTTTGCTCAGGGACTCGTGCCCTGACACGAGTGTGGCTTTGTGAGCCAGCACAAAACCCCAGCAATGTCTTTGGTGCTGTCTGGAAGAGTTCCCTGGTCTGGTTTGCTGTGTTTGTGGGGTGTGCAGACAGCTGCTCTGGCACAGGGGCTGCTGTGGTGATGAGAACAAACAACTGGGAAAGCAGTTGCATCTGTTCCCATAAACCAGTTTGTGCAGTGATTCTGGCTGTGCTGCCTGGGAAGGATTTGGGGAGCTAACCTGAGCTTGGAAATCAAGGCCCTGATAACTTTTTTTTTATTCTTTTTTTTTTTTTTCTCATGTGTACTCAGTTACTTCTCAGCCAAGCAGAAACTGGTCTTGCATAATTCCTCATCCGTGCTTCTCCAAAAGGGCCTGTGGCACAGATGGAGGATCTCTGTCCCAGAATTACCCTGCTGAAAGGTGTTCTTACACATGTGTGTCTTCCTGTGCAGGTATTTATTACCAGTATTTTTAATTTATCAGGTTGCCTAGTGAAAGTGCTGCCAGTAGAACAGAGCCCATGCAGTGGCTTGTATAATTCTGTTGGAGCGAGTCCAGAAGAGGCCACGGAGTTGATAAGAGGACTGAGGCACCTCCCCTGCAGAGACAGGCTGGGAAAGTTGGGGTGTTCAGCCTGGAGAAGAGAAGGTTGTGTGGAGACCTCAAAACACCTTTCACAATCTGAAGAGACCTGCAAGGAAGCTGAGAGGAGCTCTTCATCAGGAACTGGAGTGACCCAAGAACAAGGGGGAATGGGTATAAACTGGAAAAGGGGAAATTTACTTTAGATATTAGGAAGGAATTCTTCCTTGGGAGAGTGGGGAGGCCCTGGGATTGCCCAGAGCAGCTGTGGCTGCCCCTGGATCCCTGGCAGTGCCCAAGGCCAGGTTGGACACTGGGGCTTGGAGCACCCTGGGACAGTGGAAGGTGTCCCTGCCCGTGGCAGGGGTGGGATGGGATTATCTTCCAACCCCTTAACATTCTATGATTCTATAGTTTTGTTCTTACAAACAGATTATTTGAGAAAATTGTGAATGCAATCCCCCAAGATTCTGTGATTCAAAAGACATTATCTGACTGTATTTCATGACCAAGTCTGATTGGCTTCATGTTATTAAAGTTTATGGATGTCTTATATCCCTGTAAATCAGATTTTTCTTGATTCTAATGAAATCTTGGGAAAGAATTCACTCTGTAGAATTATTGGGAGTTTAAGTTGTCTCTCAGTAGGTTTATTTTGTCAAATGTACCATTCCCAATTATTAGAATGTATTCTGGTTCTTCAAGATTAGCTTGTTTATGAACATATTTTCCAACATTTCTAATTTTAGATGCTTTGATGGGGGGCTTAGTTTGATATATTTTTCATCTGTATGTGTAGTTGCAGCTGTTATTACCAGGTGCATGTTTGTTCTCCATTTGGAGTATCCAATAACTGCTCAAATTAACTTTGGGTCATACTTGCCAACAAGATTTATCACTGGAATTTTATTAAAAAAATGAGCCCCTGCAAAATGTAGAATGTAAAGAAACTTTAAGAAAATAAAGGATGATTATACATGGACATTGTGAGCAAATTAACATGCAAAAGCTAAAACACTTGATTGAAAATTATGAGAATTACTGGTTTTTGTAGTGTAAATATTGCACTAAAGGGCAAAGTTGTGTACTCTGAATAGTTCAGTGTTTTTAGTACTAACATTTTCAATATAAAAGTAGTTGGAATAAAGTCATATCCTGGAGCTAATCTATCTTTTTTTAGATTTGTAGTTTCAGCTCTTTTACATGTAGAGACCCTAAAATTTTCTTTAATGAAGATTTCGACCTTGTGTGATTAATTTAAATCTAATAACATCAGGTTCTTTTCCTGCAGAGCCTTAGAAGTAGCTGAGATACCCTGAGGCACTCCTCTATTAGCAGCTGGGAAAGAGTTTTGCAGAGAGGAGTTTGGTTTTGAAGGGGAGAGAGATAAGGACAGAAGAAGCTGCTTCCTTTCTGTGGGAAAACCTTGACTAGATGGAGATGCTAACATTTTTCATCTAGGTAAATTTTCTTTGAGCCTTCTGCCCACGTAGAGAGATCTGTTCTGTACTTTGGTGGCTTTGGGAGTGTATCCTGCTGGAGCACCCTGTCCCCTTTGGCAATGGGGCTTTTCCTCTCCAGGCTTCTCCTGTAACCCCTGGAAAAGCAGAAATGCAAAACCCCAGGCACAGAGTTTTGTCTCTTGTCCCTCACCAAATCCTCTGGAACTGATTATTGCCAAGGATATATTACAGAGGGAGATAATTAATCTCTGAGAAACTGCCTCTGTCTTTCTGGCCCTGAAAATCTTACCAGTGGAGCAAATGCTGTGGCTGTTACCCCATTCCTTCAGGTACCAGCTTCTATCCCAGAACTTCTGGGATGTGCAGCACAGTTACTTGGGATCACAGAGCACACTTGAATGAAGCCATTCCTCTGAATGCAGCAGATGTTCCTGAGAACTCCAGAGGTCTCACTTTTTGATTCCAAATATTCTGCCAAAACTTAATGACTTGCCAAAATGCAAACACAGAATTTTCCAGCAGTTTCTCGTTGCTGACAGCTGTGCATGGAAAAGGGTGCCTGGATTTTTATTTATTTCTTCTCATGTGTTCAGATCACACTTCCTATAACAAATACTAGTAGGTAAGTAAGGAATCTTACCTTTTCTAGTTAAAACCTGTCATTTGTCATGAAAGTAGAGACACTTCCCAGTATTCAGAGGGAAAAGCAGACACTGAGATGCAAAATGAGAACATTAAAAAAATTGCAGTATTTCCATTAGTGGTGTGATACAAGGCACACAGACAAGACTCTTCCTGAAGATGTAAATTTTTTACCAGGAAAATGACTATAATACAGAATAATGTAAAACTGCTTTCATTCCTGGTATTGCTTCTGAGTGCCAAGTCTTGCGCTTTTTTAGCTGTCAGCCTCATTCTTCTGCAAATAGCACAATCTAGTTAATATTTTCCACTTGGAGCCCACATGCAACAGCTCGGACAGGTTCAAATAAATGGTGCCAGATAGTGACTAGCTGGGTGGCAATATTAACCTAGAAAGCTGTTAAATAGCAAGAAACACATTCTTATTTTAAAAGGTGATTGTTCCACAGGTTGGACAATAATTCAGAGACAAATAAGCCACAGATATTGGTGTGTGTTTTCTCTAAGTGGGCAGACAGTCACGGGTCACTATTCTTAAAGCATAAAAAAATCTCATTTGCAGCTAGTAAGGGGTTGCAAATTTGTGGGTATTTCTAAAAAACACGTTGATGAAAATCTGCAGGAGCAACTGAAATAGAAAATCTGTCACAGCACAGCAGATACTGTGCAATTTTGTGTTAGCAGCTCTCCCAGCTCTGTGTAACTTCAGCTGGAGTTTGGTGTCTGAGCCTTCTAAAATTAAAATCCTGAGTATTCTGATTACAGTCGAAGTGTGTAAGAATATTAAAAAGTGGCTTTGGTTTCCTAGTTACAATGTGTTCATCCCAGCTCATTGTGCATGTAAAGAAATTCAGGAAAATCCAAATGGAGAGATAGATGATATGGCGAGCATTTTCTGTAATTCTGTCCAGACAACAAGTTCAAGCAATGAAAAGCAATAAAAAATAATTTTCTGATGCTTATTATAAAAAAGAAAAAGGGAAAAAAAAAAGGAAGGCTTATATTTTGGTTCATGTTTAACAAAGTTAATTTCCAGGAAGAACAAAGGGAATGATAGTGCAAAATTTTGCTTTAGTACAGTAATGCTGTTAATGTCCTGCTTTCCTGTAAATGTGGCTTTAGGGATCGAGTTTCTTGGCAGAAAGCAGCGTGGCTGTAGCCTCAGTTCTTGAGAAGGTTCATGTAAGTGAATCAGAGAGAGCACCAAGGAGCTATTAGGGCTATGGTACACTGGAAAAGTGAGCTTGATGCTTTCATTGCTCAGTATCAGTCACTTTGGCCTCAAATGACAATCTTCTGGGGTAAGAGATTCCACGGAGATGGACAGCAATTTCCCAAATTTCAGCGAGTTCATTCGTGTTCGTGCACTGACGAGATGCTGGAAAAGCGTGGTGTTTGTGGTGTATATTTTTCTTTTCAGCAATTGTATCCAAGTGTTAGAGGTGATTTGTGGTAAGTTCTTGTCTAGTAAAAAGTGCAAAAGTTAGGCAGTAAAGGTATTGGCTTGCTGAAAATATATGTTTTCATTTCTTTGTTTCATCAGATAGTGCCAGGGTGCTGTTGTGTCACTAATTTAATTTCTGATGTTAACATGTTGGTTCTTAGATGACAAAATGTGTATTTCAAGGAGAATTTGCAATTTATAACAACTTCAGACATTCTTGTGTCTTTCTGTGCACTATAAAGACATGTCCATGGCGTGAGATGAGGAAATAACACTTGCTTTCAGGTCATGAACAGAAGTTCTGCCCTGTGACAGCTGAGGGTCAGCTTTGCATTTCTATGGCCTGGGCACTCTGACTGATGTCATCTCCACATGGATTCATTCATTATTGAGGGGAAAGCTCAAGTGGCATAGCAGAAATAGCCAAGATACAGAATTAGTGATGTCTTTATGTTCAGGCTACTGACTGAATTTATTGTCGATTCTGGACTATAAAATTACATTCTATGCATGATGAATTCAGCCCCCAAAACAGAATGGGGATTTATTTAGTAAGTGTTGCTTTACAGTTCTGAAGGATAGAAGCAGTGTACTGGAAGAGCCTTTTCGCCTGACCTGCTTTTCTGTCAATTTAACACTCTTTCCCCCAGTTCTCTGTGACATTTCATTACACAAGAGCCAGTGATACAAGGGCAAGGGAGAAGCTGATTGCCTCTCCAGAACCAGCATCTTGCTGGGGACCAAACTGGCTGGAACATGTTTTATTCCAGGGATTTGGGAGCTACATGTGCTTACACAGCCCTGTGTGTACATACAATTTTGAATGCTGAATGTGAAGAGACAAAATTGTCTGTGCCATTACACAGTTGGCTTCCCCTCTTCTCAATTATACGAATTGCATCTCTCCAGTGTTTTTCTCTTGGTTATGTTCACAGAGGTCATAGCTCTGGACCACCAGTGACCACTAAAAGAAGAATATGTCCTGGAGAGCCACAGCACAAGTGTTTCTGTTTGAAAACCACCCTGATGGTCAAATCCCAGATATGAGCTGCACTGTTTGGGTTGTCAGACCCTTGATGACTTCTTACAGCATCTTCCTTTGTGTGTCATGAACCTTCTTGAGGGGAAAAAACCCCACAAACTTTAAAAAAAAAGGTTTTAAGGGCCAGAACTATCCAGATCTACCAAGAGCTAATCAGAGTTATTGCACAAAGGATAAAGCAAACAAATCTGGCTTTAAGCTTTTTTTTTTATTTTTGTACTTTGTGATGTTTGTGTGTCTGAATCATTATTGTCTGTACTGCACATTTCACTAGTTGAAAGAGCTGATAACTCAGGACTAGGAAAAACTTATGTTGACATTGGACCTTGGGTTGAAATTGATTTCAAGTTTAGCAAGGTGTATTTTGGTGCTAGGTTAAAAGATTATGGCACTTACCTGGCCAATTAGTGACTAATTAAAGCATAGAAAATACTGAGAGTCTCAAAGTGGCATGGAAGGCCTCAGCCGTGGCATTTCAGTGTATGTGGCTGTTCTCTCTCTTCTTGAGGTGTCCTCCTGTTTCCAGACTAGCACAAAGTATTAGTAAAGGTGTCTTTAAATACAAAAGGGAAGTTTCCTGATTGAGAGGACATGGTGAAAATGCCAATTTCCCATTGCATGTGGGTCATGAAGTGGGAAAAGGCAGAGGGTGTCGTTCTGCAAGGATGGCATAGAGGGGAATTGCAGCTCACAGGAGAAATTTGCATTTTCCAGGCTAATGTAGAAGAGTTGAGGAATCTGACCCCTGCAGTTTTGTCAATGGACTCTCCAGTTACTGAAGGGGCATATTTTTTCCCAGGAACCTGCAGAAATGTGTGATGTGCAACAGAAATTCTCTCCTCTCCCCTCTGACAGGTTTCTCAGCTGCCTGGATATGGAGTTTTCACCCCTTAAGCAGGAGATTTTTTTCATTTAAATCAGGACTGTAAAAGTTCTGTGAATATGTAAAGTCTCTTCATTGGGGACTTTTTCCTCATTGCTTCCTAACTGCTGCAGACCCGAGAGCTGCTCTGGTCTAATTTTATTTATTAGGACTACACTAGAAGACAGAAAGGGATAGTGGGACCTGGTAATTCATGGCTTATTTGACATCCTATTTTAAAAAAAAAGGATGATAAACAGATATTTTGATTTATTTTATATCTTTAGCTGGCAGTGTCACTCTTGGAGATGGGCTGGCATGTGTGGCACTTTGGGTATTGCCTGGCCTTTGTGTCTGAGACCTGCAGAAGGGCAGACATGTCCATGTTAGCTTTTAAGAGATAAATTCTCCACTGTACCTGCATAGAGCTGCAGTAACCAACATTGTCTTATAGTTTCTGTTGGCCAAATATTTTTGAGAGATTATGTCTGGAATTATTTTGCTGTAAAAGCTAAAATGACACACTTTGTTCCCTCGTGTGTTTCATCATTCCCTCTATTTTAGGTCAGATGATTCATCTCTGCAATACTGGTTCTGCATTTCCATTGCCTTAATTGGTTCTTTCAGAGTCATTACAGTCTGTATAGAATTGTCAATGCTATTTCTAACAACATACAGATTTCTTCCTTCCCTTCATTCCTCCTTGCCATGGCAGGGGATGTTGGAATTAGATGACCTTGAAGGTCCCTTCCAACCCAAACCATTCTGTGATTCTTATCTTCCTCCCTCCTCTCTTCTCTGCTTTCCCTGGTGCCCCCTCCTCACCTTCCTCACTCTCAGGTGGTTTCTTTCCTCCTGTCTTTGCTGCAGCCCAGCTTTTCAGGGATGGTTTCAGAGCTGGTTTTCACTCACTCTCCTGCTGAAAGGTGACTCGTTTCCTTTAACCACAAGTGACTCTTGATGCTGTTTTAAGATACAACCAGGTCTGTACAAAAATCCTTGCAGGTAAGGGCTGCCCTGGACCAGCACATTTACTGGTTATTTCAGATACTACATCAGCAGTTATTCTCATTTTCAGCAGCAGGTCCCAGCACATGGGGAGTGTCATGGTTGCTTTTCTTCTCACCCAGACACCAAGAACAGCCCCCACAAGTGTCTGCCAGCACTTGCTTCTGTGTACAGTGATTAAGAGATGGGCTTAACCTAATTGCACCTCCATATGTCAGTAGGGTGCAGCTGCTGGGTGTGGAGAGACCATGGCAAGTGCTGGAGTTAACCACAGTTTAACAGATTATCACTGGCCACCTAAACTGAAAAATCTGGCTGGAAACATGTTTTTAGCCAGTGGTGAACAAAATAAGATACTAAGAATACATTTAATATTTAAAAGTGCCATGCATGAGGTTTATTTTTTCTTAGATTTGTGTTCAAAGGTGCTGTCTGAAAGGAAACATTTGAAAATGAAGAAATTTGTTATTGCTACTCACAGGGAAACTTTCTGTTTGGGATTTTAAAAGCCTGAAGTTAAAGAGGACAATTAATTATGATCATGTAATACACCTCTGCATGTAAATAATCCTCATTAACCCTGCACTAAATGTATGACTTCTGGTAGAGCTGTGCCTTTTCTGCCTGCTTGAAAGACTTGAACCTTTCAAAGTCATCTTCGTTGCAATTAAAACTTAGGAAAGAATGAGCATTTGCTCTCAAAATATTTCAAGCAAAAAAAGGTAATTAATGTTAAAGTTTCCAGGACTGGGAGCTATAAATTCAAGAAAAAAGGAAAAGGAGGGTTATTTTAACCGTGAGGATTATTAAGCACTGGAAAAATTTGCTGCGGGATGTGGTGGCTTTGCTGTCACCAAGACTGGGCTCCTATGGAGGGTGTGCCACAGCTGCTGCCTGTGCCCAGCGTGTTCCCCAGGTGTGGTGCTGTGTCCAGAGCCTGTGGAAGAATTTCAGCAGGGAATTTTTCCCCCACAGATCCCCTGGAAGCTCCAAATGGGGCAGCCCTTCAGGTAATGCTCAGGTAAGATTTCCAGGTAATGTTGAGTGGGCACAGCCAAACTCTTAATTCCTGCTGAGCTGCCTCCTGATGGTTGTCACTCAGTAGCTACAGAGTTTGGTGAACTAAGGAGATTGGAGTTTCCTAAACTGCTGAAATTACTGGACATCTGTTTATCTTCAAGATTGGGCTCACTGGAATAAAACCTGAGTGAAACTTTGAGTTGTGTCACTAATGGATGGCCTAAAAATAATAAATTCAGGGCATTCTCTCAAGATACAGCAATAATTTTCTGTTGCCTGGCAATGTCTCTGGCACCAAATACAGAGCTGGGAGTTTATTTTATGATGCTGTGCAGAAAAATTTGTTTACAGTTTTCCACTGTGATTCCCCCAAGAGGAAGAACCCATGGCTCATACAGAGAGAGCAAACATTAATGACACCTTCTATTCATCTTGGCAAATTTATGACCAAGTTTCCATTCCTCCTTCTGTATTTCCAGAAATATTTATGCAGAGACTTGTGTTGTCTCAATTCATCCCACTTATTTTCAGTGGGAATTAGTTTGAAACTACTCTGAACAGCTTATTATAGCACAATTTACATTTTAGTTGATTTTTATGTACTCCTTTTTTAATAATCCTGTCTTCACATGGCAAGAAAAAACCTTTTCCCATTTTTTTCATGGAGGAATAAGGAATTTTCTAATGTATTTCTAGATGACATTTTATTAACCATACAGTATATTTGGTATGGTTTAAAGGGAATGTTTTTCACCCATGATGTCCCGTGCTTGATAGAAGAATCTGAAGACCCAAATTGCATAATATCCTTTGGGCAAGTAAGCTTCTGTATCCCCCCCAGACAAGAGTATTTATTATCACTTGTAGGACTGGGATATTTTTGTGACTGAATAAAGCCTCAGCAACAAAAAAAAGATAAATTGAATGTTCGGTTGTTTTTTTGGTTTTTTGGGGTTTTTTTCCCCTCCTGGAGAATACTGCTAATAGTGGGACAGAAACCTCCGTTGGTTTCTTGGGCTGGAATATTTTTTTCCTATGACCTGGAGTAGACGCAGCCTGCATTTTTGGGGGAATAC